AAAAAATATTTTTAAATATTGAAGTAAAAACTTAATGGGGGAAGTGGGTTGAAGCATCTAGGAAAGTCTGTGCTTCGCCCTCTTCCTCCCCCGTGTGGGCTCCTCACGGAATCGCCCCGTCTTTGCTCAAGTCCAGTCCTGCTCATTCTCTGCACTCCCTGCTCCTAAGATACCTGTTTGTTTCTCCTCAGGACTGAGCACAGAAGGGATCTACCGGGTCAGTGGGAATAAGTCGGAGATGGAGAGTCTGCAGAGACAGTTTGATCAAGGTGAGGCCACAGCCTGGCTGAGCATCGGAGGCTTGAGCCGGTCAGGGGGGACGGGACAGCCAAATTGCTGGGGTGTCCTGCCGCGCACAGCCCCGGAGCCAAGAGGTGCTGGCCTGGTGACTGAGAAAGAGAAAGCATTTGGCCCCAGTTAGCCTTCCCTCCGAGGTCACACTGCCACTCGGAGGGGAGGGGAACGAGCCCTGCCGCCAGACGGAAGCATTCCCCGCGCCGAACCCGAGTCAGCCCGCTGCTCCCCCGTGTCACCGTCCACTGACCGTATTCCAGGTCACCTCTCGAGGTGCCTTGCTTCTCTCACCCTGGGAAGGGCAACATGTGCCTCCGTCACCTCTCAAGGGCCTTGCTTCCCTTGCCCTGGGCCCCCGGGGCGTAATTGCAGGCACATAATCTGAAGTTGGGTTGCAGCAATAGTCCCGTTTTGCCAACCCCAGGAATACCTTCAGCCATGACTCCCTCCTCGCAGAGTCCCTGCACGAGAGAGACAAAGCGAGGGAACGTTTATGATCAGCTGAGGTTGGGACCCAGACTGCCAAAGCTGAAGTCTCATGAGTTAGACTGGCTCTTGGCCGGGACTCCTGTCTCCAAAGCTGGGTCTCAGAGGTCTGAAGCCAGAGGGCTAAACTCTAAGTGTTAGAACTGAGCACACTATGGGCTGAGAAGTCACACCCACTGGTGCCAGAAGCAAACGAGCCAAAGCAATGAAAGTTCTCAGATGTCACCAGCCAGAGAGGAAAGTAAGCTGAGGATCAGAGTAGGGTCCAACCCAGCGTGTGGCTGGGCCTGAGGAGACCAAGCCAGATTCTGAAGCCAGGCAGCCCGTGTGGGACAGAGCAGCGGCCAGGAGCAGGCCCCCAACCCCGCCACGGCCATCCGGTTAGCCAGCAGTGCGGGGAGGGCACGCACTAAGGAATCATGCAGGATGGGAGGCCTGACGTCAGCACGAGGGTAGAGCCACACACTCAGTTATGTACTTGTATGTATGCAAGAATCTGTTAATGGTTTCTACCGCCCCAAATGGAAATAGCTAGTGTCTAACAGTAGATGATTTCTTGTAAATCGGGAATGTAATAAAGTATTTAAAGAAAAGTGAAGACACAGAGGTCATTGGTTTCACAAGCTGGGAGGGGCAGAGGGAGAAAGAGGAGTCTGCTCACCCTGCCACCTTAAGGAATAAGGATGGAGTTGAGATTATTGGTAACATTCTGTAACCCACCGTGAAAAGTGAGCCAACCTTTTAGGAAAGTCCTTTGATTTTCCAAGGGGGTGGGGGGCGGGGGGGTGTAAGGAAAAGGCAGGACAGAAGGAGGGGGCGAAGCTGCTTTATTCAAAGGATGACCTTGGAAGGAGGCATTGGGTGTCAGCCTCTGTCTGCGAATCTCACAGCTTTTTTTTTTTTTTTTTTTTTTTTTTTTTTTTAGCAGGGAATGCCACCTCCTGTTCAGTCTTTGATAATCCTGAGTCCCTGCCCAGGCTCCAGGCCAGCCCTGGGCAGCATCCCAGGGTCTTCGAGGTTTCTCTGCCTTTCTCCAAGCACTGAGTTTTCCTTTTGCTTCTTTCCAGCTTAGACTGACCTCACTCTCCCAACTTCCTTTCAGACCACAACCTGGATTTGGCAGAGAAAGACTTTACAGTGAATACCGTGGCTGGTGCCATGAAGAGCTTTTTCTCAGAGCTGCCAGACCCCCTGGTCCCGTACAACATGCAGATTGATCTGGTGGAGGCACACAGTGAGTATACTGGTAACCCAGCCCGGCTCGTGGGCCCAGGCAGCACTCCAGGCTGTGTTTGTTGAACTAAGGGAGAGGAGCTGAGCATCAGTAGAATGAGTTCTGTGCTCAGGGAACAGACACTCTGGCTCTTAGAGCTGAGGTTGGACGGATATAAGGACAGGGAACTAACTAAGGATGATGCCGTAGGGGCTTGTAGATCAGCCCCCACCCCCACCCCCGCCTTTGTAGACCAGAGATGCTTTTCTAAGCATTCTAGCAAAATCGTTACAGGTTCCCCCAAAACTCCACGACTTACTAGCCTGGTTTTGTAGCAGACTTGGGTCAAATCTGCTCCTATGCTTGTTCAAAGTGTAAGTGTGGTTGACACAATGTTCCCTGACCCTTAGTTTCCCTACAACACTGTCCCCTCTCCTATTTATGAAATATTAGGAGAGACCTCGAGGCAGGGCGGTAAGAGACCTGTTAAAGGGGGCAGATATTTCTTTTCTCCTCTGCTTGCCCATCCCTCTTACAAGGAAGTTAGCATGTAGTCTGGGGCCAGCCCACCTCTGGGGGGAAAGGGATGGTTCCAGTTGCCCTGACCAGATGATCAATGGCCGGGGTGGGTGGCAGGTCAGCACCTCTGGTTTTTTGTTTGTTGTTGTTGTTTTTAATTTTTTTAATGTTTATTTATATTTGAGAGAGAGAGTGAGAGCGAGCAAGCAGGGGAGGGGCAAAGGGAGGGAGACAGAATCCAAAGCAGGCTCCAGGCCCTGAGCACAGAGCCCTACACGGGGCTCCAACTCCCAAGCCATGAGATCATGACTTGAATCGAAGCCGGATGCTTAACCGACTGAGCCGCCGGGTGCCCCAGCACCTCTGGTTTTAATGGCGACCTTTGTGAGCCATCCTGCCCACCCTGCCGGCCGTTTCCACCCTGACCTGCTTCTCTCAGGAGGCATCTGTCCACCGGATTGGGAGCCTTCCCTCCGGGCAGCCTTTCCCGGACTTTGTGTAGTACCGCAGCTTCCCACCTTGTGGCACTTTTTACCTTTTTTAGTCAGAGGCATCCTTCCTGCTGTGCGGCTCTGGTGGGCCGGGACCCCCAGAAGGAGCCATCGCTGCGCAGCTGCAGAAGGGAGTGTCTTGGCCGGTGACCATGGAGGTGGGGAAGAGGAAAAGGAGCCATGTTCCTTGGACCACACAGGACTTTAGTCTCATCTCATCAGTGCCCAACTCAGAAGAGGGAGTTTCAAGCAAGCATGGTTTACTCACAAGGCTGGTGGTGTAGGCAGAAATTTGGAGGCAGTCGCAAATCAGGGTTTTAAGTCTTAGGTCACAGATTCTTAGCGGCTTCAGGAAATGGACGTGCCGACAAAAGTCCACCCCTGAAATGTGAGGGTGCCCAGGTCAGAACCTGGCTGCTGCCAGAACTGCGGGGCCCCTGGGTCACCTTTGCATGGTCTACCTAACTTTCACAACCTGGGTGCCACCTTTGCCTCGCTTTATCCTCATGGTCTCGGTGGATTGAAATCTCTCACGGCTCCTGATCTTATCCAAGCCCATCACGGATGGGGCAGGAGCGCATGGTTCTGGGGCTGTCGTAGGGTTGCCGGGCCTTCTTTCCCACCTGCTTTCTCTGGATAGGAGTCCGGGTTTCTCCAAGATGAGTTGGGCGGGGACAGGTGCCAGCTTCTGCTCTGATCCTGCTGTCCAAAGACTCCTCCAGCAGGTTCCAGGCTGGCCCAGATGTGAACCACATAGGAAATCTCTGTGTGGATCCAGCTTTCTCTCCACCTAAGCTTGTCTCTTGGCGGAAGTTGGGGAGAAAAGGTGTGGGCTGGTACTCCCCTCCTGGAGCCAGTGGATTCCTGTCAGCATTTGTCTTGACTTGGCGCCATCTAGAGGCTTGTAGAGTCCTGGCACCCGACAGAATCCCATTGTCTCTGCAGGAACTGCTAACATAGCATCTTTTTGTTTTTGGAGGGGTGTGGGGGGGCAGGAGAGGGAGGTGTTATTGATAGAGAATCAGCTGCCCTTCCTACAGCAGCTTCCCTGGTCTCCGCTGCTGGGAAAGGGAGCCCCTTGCTGCAGCAGCCTGGAAAAGGGTGGAGATTTCTGCTTCCTCTTCCCATTGTGTGTTTCCTGTGCCCGAGCTAGTCAGCTGGGGTTCCGTTGTCTTGAACCTGGGGGCAGGAGGGTGGAGAGGATCTCGCTGACATGGCACCTTTCAAGGCCACAGCAGTTGAGTGAAGGTGGGCTGTGTATGTCCTGGGGTGGCTTTAACTGAGCCAGGGGCACCAAGTAGGCAGTACCAGTGTTAGTGTTAAGGGACATTATGAAACGAAGATTCTCAAGCCCAAAAGTAGCTATTCCCAGCCTGGCTGGGTTTCCATGGCAACATCAACTTGACCAGCTCTTCCCACTTAATACTAAGAGCTGTTGTGTCTGTGTGTTCAGGGCTTGAGAATGGTTTCAGATTCCGTCACCACAAATATCAAGGTCACTGTCAAATTGTTTTGTTAGCTCCAGAATTTCACAATATTGAACATTGCTGAAAATGTGTGCACAAATAGAGATTTTTGTGATTATTTACCATTTGTCTTCCTGCCACACTCAAGGTGATGTGTGGGTGATTCAGAAATGAGTGGCAGTAGCATCCGTCACCCACACTGCTGGGGAGTGGCACGCTGGGGCTTGACCTTCCATGCAGAGACGTCGTCCCTGCCCTGCCAGGGTGCATACGTTAGTTACCTGCCAGACAGAATGAAGCCAGCTGAGCTGGAAGGGTAGAAAATGCAGGGTGGAGGGCTTCGTGGAAGAGATGGCACCTGAGCTGTGGCTTCAGGGAGGACCAGGATTTCAGGAGGCAGAGAAAAGGGCTTTGGGTTCCCTGTTCATCTCACCTCATCCTGGCCTTCGCCAAATATTATCATTCGTTCTTGCCCCACGTCTTCCCCTCGTCCTCTTATGACACCGCCAGCCTCACCACCACCTATTTAGAGTCCCTCCGGTCCAGCCAGTCCTGTCCTAGGTCCTTCATTGCCAGAGGGACGTAAAGCTAGCCCTGTCTTGGTCCAGAAGTTCTGAGCCTAAGGACCTTTGGTTCCGGGGCCTCATTAGCCCTGTAACTACTTGTAATGCTCCATATGTGCAGTTCAGTGTACAGAGAAGACCAGCAGCTTCCATCAGATTGTCAAAGGGATGTGGGACCCAAGTGGTTCAGGGCGCTGGCTCCCATCTTACCATTCCCACTGGGAGACGGGGTGCCTTACAGCTAGAGGTGGTAAACATCCTGGGATCGTGCCTCCTCTTGTCTGTCGAGATAGCTGCTTAAGGTCACAGGGGTGTTCCTCACTCACATCCTGGCACGTACCAGGCCCTGTGTGGGACAGGGACAAATGGCAGTAGACAGAGGAGTGTGTAGTCCCTGCCTCGGTCTGGCGGGGTAGGAGGCATGGAACAGGTTACTGCAGGGTCACGCCTCCCAGAGAGAGATACCCGGAATCTTCCATTCCAAGCCCGGCGGAGTGAAATCTTGGCCTTGGACTCGTTTTGTACCTGAGGGAAAGGTAGAGGGTGCATGTTGTACGTGCTTGCATGCTTCACTGAGAGGGTGCTGTGACCTTGAGCCACTTTTTTCCTCTTCTGGTGGTGCAGGTGTGCGAGATGGTCGAAGGCCATCAGATTTTCCTCCAGGCACTGTGTGGGGCGGCAGCAGGTCCAAGCCTAGAGCCTGTCTGATGGCCTGGGGTGACGTGGGCAGCAGGGCGGCACGGCCAGGGCAGGGGCTGTGTGTGGGATCGAGATCCCTGACAGCAATTTGTGTGACCTTGGGCCTGTATTCTTACTTCTCTGAGCCTTAGTTTCTCTGTATACTGTGAGGGGTGTGGCGAGCTGACCTCTAGGCTGTGGCCTCTGGCTGTCCCCTTCCCTTCCTCCCGAGTTCTTAGGGTATGTGTTAGTTCTAAATTGGTTCTAAATTGCCTGGTCTGTGTAAAGATTTTGCCTTGGTTCAGCTGGCCTGAAAATGCCTCTTCTGAACCCGTCTTGCCATCTCCGTCAGCTGAGACCTCGTTTCACAAGTATGACATGTTAGCTGGGGGGGGGGTCCTTGCCCTGTAGAGGGCCCCTCACCACCCGAGTCGTCCTTCAAAGAGGATCTGAAGCCGGAGAGCGCTGCGGCCTGGCAGAAGGCAGGGGACCCGCAGCAGATGTGGGGGACCGGGAGACGGAGCCTGTGCCCGGCCGCCCTCCCCCCACCGGTCTTACGTCCTTGGCGCTGCCTCTTGGTGTCGCCCCAGCCAGCGTGTAGGGTGAGCCTAGTGCGGCGAGGGCTGCACAGACAGCGGCTCCGAAGCTGCCCCGCTAGCACTCTGGCCTGTGCAGAGCAAGAAATCACTGGCGTCCCGAGCACCGGGAAGAAGGTTCGCTTGCTTGAGGGGGGAGGTGAGCGAGATGAGGTCAGAAGGTGGTCAGCAAGACGGGCCGTGTTTTTCGTGAGACAGACAACAGAGGGCCGGGCCCTGCACCGAGAGGCTTTCTGTTGTCTCCTTGACTTCCTTGCTCCTCCTGCCAAACCCTGTGCTCCCCAGCTCTCGTGAGCACCTGCACCCTGAAGCTGGCTGGAGAAAGAGAGGGGAGGCATGAGTAGGGGGGACCATCTGGGTCTTCGTTGGGCCCCGTGCTGCCGCACCACGTGGCATTCCTGAGAAAGGGGCGTGAGTTACTATCGAGGCAGCCTGGTACCCCCACCTCCGCCTCCCCCTCCCCCTCCTCCCAAGGAAGACCAAGGGAGCCAGCATCCCTGTGGCACCATGGATGGGAAGGAGAAGACCGGCACCTGTCACTCCAGCCCCGCTTCCCGCCTCTAGTCAGGATGGCAGAGACCCGCTTTCGGGTGAAGGCGCCCTAGGGGTCAGGTGCCTGATGAAAACACACAGCTGCGTTTGTGCCGCACCAGCGCCCAGGAGACATCTGGGCCGGGCTTGCATCTGTAAGGGGGTGCGATCACTTTTTCACGAGGTGAGATTCTGAGCCCTGCCCGTGCTTCTCGGGTATCAGGATGATCGCGCATCCTCCCTAGAGCAGTGTACTATTTTTAAGTAAACTTTTTACTGAAGTTTAACAGTAAAAAGTATTTGAAATTCAAGGCCGGAGACAAAGCGTGCTCTCAAGGTGGAACCCTTAAAATAAATCTTAGGCGCAGAGCAGTGAAGGTGATAATGACCCCACCCAGTT